CCTATCAGATTGGCAAAACTCCAAAGGTCTGATGACACTCTCAGTTGGCAAGGGTCTGAGAAATAGTACTCTTATACATAGTGCCTTGCTGGTGGAGTATAAATTGGTATAATCCCTCTAGAAGGCAATTAGGTGATATTTATAATACCTTTTGATCCAGTAATTCTACTTTGAGGAATTTAATCATACACTGCATGCATGTTAGGATTATATAATATATGTAGAAGTTATGAACTTCAGCACTGTTTACAACAGGAAGACACTGGAAACAAGGAAAATACGCATCGATAGCTGACTGGTTATATAAATTATGCTACAACCATGCAATGAAATAGTATGCAGCTACTTATAAGTGAATGAGCTGTTACCTAGAAAGAAATATATTACATATAGTCAATATATATTACAAGTGAAAAAATTCAGAACAGTATGCATATTATATACAAAAAGAAGGAAAATAAGAATCAATTTATATTATTTGTATTTCCTTACATGTACATGAAGAAACTCTAGAAAGATACATGGAAAAATAATAGCAGTGGTTTGGGGACCCTGAATGGGAACTGAATGGACTGGCTGCAGTGAGAAGACTTTTCAGGGTATGTCTTGGTCTTAGAAATGTGATCATATCACCTATTCAAAGAATTCCTATGCTTAGAAATAAATTTTAATGACATCAATTGACATTGTTCATACAACTGTTTACCAAGTATCTACTATATGTCAGGTAGTACTCTGCACTGGCAATATAGCACGGAATAAGACTAGGTTCTTTCCCTCATAGAACTTATATTCTAGGGGGAAAAACCAAATATACATCCCCCCCCCACACACACCTGTATATATGTATACACAGGTATATATATACGTATATACTTATACATACAGATATATATACCTATGTATACATATATGTATATATGTGTATGCCTGTATATACATATGCATATATAATATACAGTACATATATTATATACATACACGTTTTAAAATTTATACAATATATAATGCCAAGTAGCTATTTTTTCTTTTCTTTGTTGCAGTTTTTTTTTTTTTTTGGCTGGGATTGGGTTTGAACCTGCCACCTCTGGTATATGGGACTGGCACCCTACTCCTTGAGCCACAGGCACTGCCCCCAAGTAGCTATTTTTTAAAAAGTCGGTCAGGCTAAGGGAGAAAGGAGTGACGT